TACATTGTTGTTGAAAACTATTTTTATTCATCGATTACTGCCAAATTTTTCGTAGGAGCAATATTTACAATCACGTTTCGATTAGAACGTTCAGTTCCGGGAAAAAAAGAAGCAAAACGGTACGTTTGATTTGTTGCAAATACAAAAATCCTCGTCTTCCACGGAACGGTTATCGTAGAAGAAATTTACTTTAGAATACCTTTTATAAAATTTTTATACGTGTTACACACACTTAGCGGACTCCAGGGAGGATGTAGAACAAAAGCGTACCTTCGACGATGGATAAATTTCCGGAAAACGAACGGACATTTACGCTCTCGTATGTTGCTTCTTTTGTCTATTTTTACGAAGAACAGTGGTAGGTAACTCTCCCCGTCAACCAGATCAAACGAACGTTCCAAATGGATTTAAAGATGACGAAGAAGGGAAAGCGAGGGTTGCTTAACGAGAAAAAAAGAAAAGAGTAACGGGTGTCCGTCGTGTCGGCGCTCCTCCAATTTGTAATTTATGTACCTTGTTTCGATCGTTTAACAACATACCGTACTTGTTAACTCCCTCTCTCTCTATACATACGAATATACAGGGTGAGGCACCTAATTTTATCACCACGAATAACTTCTGAATTATGCGTTGTACAAAAAATTATTTTTATAAAGGGTACATGGTATCAAGTGGGACATCACGTGGTGTACACGACATCTTTACAAGTGGAGGCGATCAAACTTGCGTTAATATCTCGTTAATTATTAGCTTTAGGACAAACAATGTTTAATACTTTTCTACTTGGAAATTAAAGAGCTTTCGAACTGCCGTAAAAAAATAAGGCATTCCATTTAAAAAAACAAAGTTGACCTTCAAATCTTCTAAACGCCTCCACTTATAAAGAAGTCGTATACACCACGTGATGTCCCTCTTGATACCATGTAACCTTTGTAGAAATAATTTTTTGTACAACGCATAATTTAGAAGTTATTCGAGGTGATCAAGTTAGGTGCCTCACCCTGTATATATGCATATATATTCACACACACACACACACACACACACACACACACACACACACACACACACACACACACACACACACACACACACACACACACACACACACACACACACACACACACACACACACACACATACGGTCCGACAATACGCGGTGATTTCCCCTTGGAGAATAAAAGATTCCCCGTGACACCATTGGGTTAGGTTGGGTGAACAATTGGGTTCACAGAACACGCAAAGGGCAGAAAGAGCAGGTAGCTCGTAAGGGGTAAAAAAAAAAAGAAAAATGGGGAATCACAGCGTTCGAGGGAAGGGAAGACGACATTCCATGCGTAGGAAATCTCTATTGTACATTGATTATTGATACATTAATTATGATAACAATAAATTATATACAAAGTCACATGACTAGAAGTCTTCTGTGATTCCGTTTTTCATTTTTTCGACGTTTTTTCGTTTTTAGTTTCTTCAACCTGTCTCTCTGATGTTATTTTCTATGTGATTAGAAGGTTTTTATATTCGATTTATGGTGTCCCATCTTTTTCCCAACTTTCTCCTATTTTCTCTGTTCTCTCTCTCTCTCTGTTTTTCTCTCCCTCCCCTTTACTTCTCAATTGAATTTAAGTTTTATTGTTAGAGATATTTTCCCAAGTCCCTGCGCGTTGTCCTCTTTCCGTTCTTCATTACCGTATCTTTTTATCGCACTCCCGGATTCGTTGGTCGACCGGATGACAATACCATGTGTGAGTAATCCCTAACAGTGCCTATCTTTACTGTCAGTGATATGTTTTATACTGTTCTTTGCGGTTCATTGTTTCGACGATTTGTTGTTCACTTGCTCGGTAGCCGCACCCTTTCCTCTGCTCCATTCACGAATCTGGACGTTGTCGTACATTTTCGACTATTAAGAAACAATGCGTTGAAGCTGACAGATCTTTCAACGAAAACAAACTCTCAACAAATTCAGATTCGTGTTTGAACGGTCTTTGTAGCTGGCTGAAGATGTAAGGTGGAATGGCTTCGTCCTTTACTGAATTCGATCAGAGTACGATGTTTCTTTGGATGTTTTTAATTTGCCTCGAAACACGCTGTCGAAGATTTAGTAGCTCTGCACTTTCGTAGGATAAACTTGCATATGAGTAATCGCACAGAGTTGCGGCCATAGTCACTGATTTTTTTCAAATTTGCAGGATTCTTTGTTGATACCCTTGAGAAACGAAATTGTAAAACTTTAGCTTTCTATCTCGAACGGCTTTTAAACTAATTAATATTAATGTTATGGAAAATTAGATGAAATCAGCCGACATGTCAGCACTTTAACCGTAAAGTCTTATTTTAAAGATAAAGAAACACTTTTTTCGAATATGTACATAAAATTTTATTTACTGCCAGGAAGCATAACAATAATTGCTGCTAAGGTTTCAACTGCGTATTTGACGCTGTACCCACACATAGAATAATCTGAGAAAAATATCATTAGATTGTTCAAACTGTTTCGATTGTTTAAAGCTTATTTTACAGGTTAAAGTCCAAACAATATACATATACTATACATATATATGCATATACAGGGTGTCTGTTTTATCTCAATGCAGTGAAATATCTTTTAAGGAAGTGATGTTAGCAAAAAAATGTTTTAACAAAAGTTGTTTGGTACGGGGAGGGGATTATGTGGTATAAATATTTTTTTGTACCGGGTATGGTGGGGGAGATTTCAAAGTCAGTTTAATTTTTTTAAATCGAATGCTATATTTTTTTATACATAATATGATAGTGTATGTTAAGACGAGTCCAACAAGGTGCGAACAAAGTCATTTCCTTTCATGGAAGGTCGTAAAATTGCGAAAAACCGGGAGTTGGATCACCACACGTTCCTCTCTGTCTTATCAATGGGTATCCCCTCCACATGTCCTCCATTATTGTATTCGTTGAACTCGTCTTAGCATACACTATCATATTATGTATAAAAAAATATAGCATTCCATTTAAAAAAATTAAACTGACTTTGAAATCCCCCCCACCATACCGAGTACAAAAGAAATATTTATACCACATAATTTTCCCCCTCGTACCAAACAACTTTTGTTAAAACATTTTTTTCCTAACATCACTTGTGGACAGGGTTGTCCACGCAATTGTTTCAGGTCATAACTCCGTTACTAATGCATTTACGAAAAAATTCCAAAGAAGAAAGACAAATGGCTCGAAGAGCACTACATTTGTAGGCCCTTAGATTTTTTTTAAGTGCAACAGTGCATGTGCAATTAACAATTACATCATTTCTTTAAATGGAAAAAATGTCTTTATTGAAGAAGATGCTCAAACGCTTCATGACTCTGTTAGTAAACGTTAACACCGTTTCGACATTGCTGTCATAACAGAAACTGATTTGTACGAGTAAGCATTTCATCATTCAGTAACAATTTACGTATCGTAACTGGAGTACGAAAACTAAGAATTTGAAAAATTGTGATTGTATTTCACTAAATAAAAGAAAATGTATTGAAAATATCTCGAGAACTAATAATTTTTTTGCCATGGTACCCTAATAATTTTTTACGTAGAATGAACAGAGGAATCGATCTGTGCAACAAAAAATATGCATTTCCATTTAAAGAAATGATGTAATTGTTAATTGCACATGCACTGTTGCACTTAAAAAAAATCTAAGGGCCTGCAAATGTAGTGCTCTTCGAGCCATTTGTCTTTCTCCTTTGGCATTTTTTCGTAAATGCACTAGTAACGGAGTTATGACCTGAACCAATTGCGTGGACCACCCTGTATATCAGGGGTGACCAGCTACACTACCTTTGGAAGCCACATTTCAGTAAGGAATATTTAAAAGAGACATTTATTTATCTTTGATAACAAAACAATAAGAGCCGCACTGTGGCCACCCCTGGTATACATGTATATTTAAGAATTGTTGCTTATTGCTACGCTGTCTGGGGTGTCCGTCTAGTTCTACGGTTGTAACCAGAGTGTTTTTCCGCGTGTATCCGTGCGCTTGTTCTTCTTGTGACCCTGAGTGATAAAGACCAGGCCACGACTCCATCGTCTATGTCTCGCGTTTCTTACAATAACTTTAACAGTAAATAGTTTAAAAACTATACTGAAATTTTACAGTTTTGTTTCTCAAGGGTATCAACAAATCCTGCAAGTTGTGAAAAAAATCGGTGACTATGACCGCAACTTTTTGCTATTTGACGTGGAATGCCTCATATACGTTTTGCATGTCCAGAGATGGTTTATTTTGCATTTGTTCTCGTGCGATCCACCGATTTTCCTTCATTTTTGCCCCTTGGTTATTAGATGTACGGAAACATATTATTTTTCAGTTATGTTACCTTGCAGAACTTCTACGCTGGATATCTTTCCGAAGTTAGACTCTTCGTAGCACCGATTTGCGATGTGTGGCACGTGCAACGTAGAATTAGCGACGTTCTTTTAAAAAGCTCTTTCTCCCTTGAAATGCATCCTTCGTATTAATTCCCTGCACGATTTTACGTGGCTTCGTGTTATTCCTTTCGAACAACGTAACCTTTTTGGAATTCAATACTGTTTAAAAAGAAATTTGAATTACATGGACGGTTTTTCAATTCCAGAGATGCGGAATTTCGTGGAAAAGTATTGAATTTAAAAGGTGTTATTTGCTTCACGAGAATTTTCTCTTTGACCGATAAACAGAACGATTATTCTCCTGAAATCCCTTTGCTCGAATTTTTCTTATTCTCTGTTTCTTCTTTTTTTCTTTTGGTCTTTACTTCGTTGTAAATCCTATCGTTAACGGGATAAAAATCGACGCAGCTAAAGTCAACGGAGGCTGATATACAGTGCACCGTAGCATGCGACTCGAGTTTCATATTTTTTCCTCGAGCGTTTATTTCTTATTGTCTCTTATATGTAAACCGCCATTTTATTACTCTTTGTGGTCTAAGCCTCTCCTTCACCCTCGCGATCCAAGAATTCCTTCTCTTACTTGTTTTCATTTACAGATACCGAGACAGATAAGCAGGGGACACCGAACAAACAGGAGAATAATAATTCTGTTTACGTGAATGAAAAATCTCCTGAGAAACGTACAAATGGTATGGTGGCGACTAGCAACGCGAGCATGGTCAATACTCCGGACCTGAGCCCCGTAAAAAATATACGAAACGGAGAGGTTGAGGATGGCGAAATTCGAAAAACTAAAGTGAGCTCCTCGCGTGTGAAAATATTTTACCTGTAATTTCACCATATTTTATAATTGGTCGTGTATTTTTATTTTTTCTAAACAGAGGTGGCCGACGGATAAGGCGTATTATATCGCAAAGGAACTTCTTATGACCGAAAGAACTTACAAGAAAGATCTTGACGTGATAAACGTGGTACGTAAGTGCATAATAATCGAATGGAGAACGTATAAGAAATCGAAGCACGTAAAGACTTTAAGGGGTCTTCCTACTGTGACGGCTGAAAAAAAACTGAATTTTTCGGAAATTTAAAACAAAGCAAGTGCTGCACATATCCTTTTGCAAATTTGTGTGTTTATTCTATCATCTTTTAAGAACACAAAAATATGTTTTATAAGTGAAAATATCCATTTATTGTAAAATAGGGCTACCGTGAAGAGAGTGCCTTGAAAAATATCCTTCCCGATGGCTGACATGATATCAGATGTTGTACTTATCCAAAATACAAAATGTACACATATTCTTAATCTGTAGACGTGTGGTTATCGTCTGAACTAGAATAATAAAAAAATATTGAGAAATAAAGAAATGGCGAAGTTTCAAAGAAATTGCTTTCGATTTTAGCAAAAAAAAAAAAAAATGATGGTTTTTTAAACCGCAAAGACTGAATTTTGAACATATTTGCACAATTCTAGTTCAGGCGATAAAGCAACATCTACTGAATATACCTGACATATTTGGAGTGGTTCGGACTTTTGGTTTTTTGGTAATCATGTCAGCCAGTTTCAAAAATGCTGTTTCGAGAAACACGCATTTAAAGTTTTAAGTACAGTTTAAGACTATATGAAACCGCTCTCTTGAAGGCATATATCTCTGCCAATTTTGAGAATTAAATTTTAAAACTTCGTGGACATTTTCGAGATGTTAAACTATAAGAAAATGCAAAAAAAAAAATTGATTTTTTCAGTCCGTCACAGTAGGAAGACCTCTTAACTTGTTTCGAATGAAGATGTAGGAATAAAGTCACAGTTCAGTAGGCTAGTCAGGAAAAGGAAGTATCTCGAGAGGCAGAATTAGAGGGCGAAGCTGTGGTTTCACTGATCGAGCTTTTAGCTGACGTCCATGGGCCCTGCCTCCAAGAAATGGAGGCAAGATTGGAACGGTGGGAGAGTAATGCACGACACAACATTGGTGATTTTCTTTACAACACTTTGTTGAACGTACTGCCGCTTTACGATCAATATCTGGAGAATCTAATACCGGTCCTCGAGAAAATGGAATATTATACAAGGACATCCCGTTGTTTCGATCAGTTGTGCCGTGATTTCGAGGCGCAGAAGTATTGTTATCTACCGTTGACTTCATTCCTTTTAAAGCCGTTGCAACGGTTGTTGCACTACAACAGTATTATCGATAGTACGTTAATTATTTTTTACAGGAAGTAGTCTATAAACTCATTATTAGATCCCCCGGCATCACAACGAATATTATTTTTTTCTTTTTTTCTCCCTTAGGATTATTAGATCACTATCCGAAAGATCACACGGATTTCGAAGATTGCCTGGCGGCTAGAGATCGATTAGGAGAGACGTTGCTCGAAGGTCTTAGCATAATTAATCAAGCGGTAAATATCTCTAACTCCTTGTTGCTATTTAAAAATCATAACTTGATATTTAACGCTTCTATATTACGAATGTAGGAGAATCTGGTTCAACTTTGCGAAATGCAAAGGGACATCAGCGGTTTCGACAATTTGGTTCAGGAGGGTCGTAGATTTATTAGGCAAGGTTGCTTGCAAAAGTATAGTCGTAAAGGTTTTCAGCAAAGAATGTTTTTCCTGGTAAGTCCGCGAGGTGAATGTCCGTTTAATGTTGCCTTTCCCTCCTAAACTTCCTCGTTTGCTCACCTTTTAGTTTTCGGACATATTATTGTACACATTCCGTACTCAACAACCGACGCAATGCTTTCATGTTCATGGTCAACTACCGCTAAAAGGAATGAAAATTCGGGAGGGCGACAATAAAACTGGCTCGGACTTTGCATTCGTAATCGACGCCCAAGGAAATCAGTGAGTACTGTGAATGGGCTACTGTTCCGTTTAAGTAAATTATTGAACGTAACGAGGTGTTAAAAGGACGGAGCTCTATGATCATTAAGAGGTCAATTGACCGTAGAGAGTTCACTTAAGCGTGTCATTCTTCCAATGTAAATGTGTATCAGTGAAGATTTTGGCGACGAGCAATTCACTGCAAAAATCATTCTCCTCTCCTTCTCCTTTTATTTTTACTTTTATTTCTTTTCTGTTCAATTGCAACATGTACGAACAAATTTTCACACCGTACATTTAAGTCGACGGTTTACGTAGATCCTTAACGGTTGCCGCTAGTAACGAAGAAGAGAAAGGGAGATGGTTGGAAGATTTGATCATTGCTATCGCGCAAGCTGACGCGGATCCAAAAATGCCCTACTTGAATTTAAAGTCTTGTAGTAAGTGTTATTTGTTATATATTGTTAACGAAAGTAGAGTAGAATTATTATTGATGCGATATACAATGAAGTTTTAGGTTCAGCCGACGAAATGGGCGATGGTATTGGGTTGGAGGCTGATCGAGGAAGTTGCGGAGGTGCCAAGGCTTCTCAACGGAGTAATACAACTTTACACGTTTGTTGGCATCGAAACACGAGTATCAGTTACAGCGATCAATTGAGAGCATTTCAAGTATGTAGAAGTACAGACGAGATATAGGGTAGACCAATCATCTTATGGGCCTTTTTTTAACATGATCTGAAATACCGACGTCGTCTACTGATTTTGAAGTGCACTTTACGCTTAAAACGGTCATTTTAAGAACTGCATCGTGCAAAACGATCGATATTGGTCGTGTGTCATTGTTACTGTGTTGCCAATACAACCTTGGATCCTAAAACGCAAATGTGTATAACTGAATCCATTCTAATTCATCCTAAGATTCGAAATTTTGTCTCCTTGATTATTTAAAATAACAAATGCCAAGTATTCTTGAATTCAATTCTTACCACTAATGACGCAGTGATATAATACCAGTCCCAATCGATACAGTAGGATGGTGGTAACGGGATTCTAGGTCGTGTGACAAAAAAATACATTGGATTATAGTCATTGGCTTACTCTATATCTTGTCTGGGGTAGTAGCTCCTGTTCCACGGTGTATCGAATAAACAACAAAGGTGTAATTAAATTCAAAAAATCGTTTTAGAACCAACTCAGTGGATTTCTTTTGCGGAAATTCAAAAATAGTAATGGTTGGCAAAAGCTCTGGGTCGTTTTTACCAACTTCTGTTTGTTCTTTTATAAATCACATCGAGACGACTCCCCATTGGCTAGCTTGCCGTTGTTAGGATACACTGTTACTACCCCATCGGAGAAGGATGGGATCAACAAAGATTTCGTGTTCAAATTGCAATTTAAGAATCACGTTTATTTTTTCCGTGCTGAGAGCGACTACACATTTGGACGGTGAGGATAATACGTTAAAGAATAGCACAGTTAGAGATTTATTCAGAGTCTGACTGACGAAACATGAATGTTTTTCAGGTGGATCGAAGTAATTCGGAGTGCGACACAACAAAGCCACGTGTCGGATAGCTTCAACGGAAAAGAAGGATATTAACATTCGTGTTCTATAGAATATCGAAAGGAAGTAATGTAAGAAAACGTTTGAGCAAAGTAGCGCTACAGGCCACTTCATCTCAAACAGTTTTTCATTATATGTGGTATAGTATTAAAATCGAGAAATCTCAACATCTTCAGGGAAAACCTGTGTTAGCGGTAAAACGCATTAAAACTTCGCGGCCTTATTCGTGGACTGAAAATCAAATTTATACGATTTAATATGGTAATTGACAATCAAATCGAAATCACACGCACGCGCGCGCGCACACACACACTCACAGCTGTTTTTCGTAAAGAAAACAAAAGTTGAAAGTAAAACGTAGGGGAAGCATTCATTTTATGCTCATTTTCAAGCCCGGTTATTTCAGAGCAACTTTTATATTAAAATGCATCGCGTTCTAATCGTTTTTCCTTTTAGTTTTCACGACGACCGACGCGTACTTGAAGATACGCTTAACAAGGGTGATATAATTGGAATGTAAATATAATTATTTAGATCTAACCGTATCTCGCATTTGTTTAAAACTCATATGAATCTGATACACAAAGTTAAACGTATTCGAATTGTTGATGACGATTTCTTGTTTGTCATTGAAACGGTGAAGCTCCGATATCTACATATGCTGAAGAGAAAGAAAATTAGATATTAGAGTAAACCTTGGACCAATTTTATAATGAAGTTTCTTTAGCGATCTATGTCTTAAAAAAACAAAGACAATAAGTTTGTTAGCCTATTAGAGTTTTTTTCCTCGTTATTAAATTAATATTAACGAAAGATATACAGAGAGACTATTTCTTGCTATTACTAAGGATTTTATAATTTCACGATTCCCTTTTGTTACGTATTACCTCCTTAGAAGCAATACTCGATTCGATTAGACTGGCTATGCTATGAGAAATGTTTTATGACACCATGCGCGTGTACGTTCGTAACGAATGCATGTATTTAAGGCGAAAGAATCTACGCAGTAATACGAATATACACATATCCACGCGAAAAAGAGAAGTCTCTAACTTAACGGTTATCTGTTTTTTAGTTACTACGATTGTTTGTTATAATATATATTATAAATATATATATATACACATATAAGTATAACTATATGTGTATATATATACAGGTTGTCTTATTTTAATTCATCCACACAATTATCTCCCGAACTATTCATTATTTGAAAAAATGCTTCAAATAGAACTTGTTCTATTAAAATTTTGTCTAGGTGGAGGTGCCTCCGAGATCTCAAGGTAACCTTTATTTTTTTAAATGAAGCTACATATTTTCGTTTTGCAAGGTATGTTATTTATTCTGAGATAAATTCATTGACCTATAATATGTTGGGCTTTGAAGGTCACGCAAGGTCATGTACGATTCTTTAAATTGTCCTTTTGCTGGAAAGAATTAGTTTTATACTCGATGAATCGTATTCATAAGCGCGCATTGGATATGCCGCGTCCGTTCAGGTATATTTGCCAGAAGTATACCGTTTTCTATAGCAGCTTGTCGAAAATACTCGTGCATCGTGTAAAGGAGCACTGTTCAAATTGCCAAACTCGTACGTTTATTTAAAAATAATTGTATCGTTTTTGATCAAAATACGTTTCATAACGTAGATTCTACATAAGTCGTTATGTAACATTATGTATTAATATTCCGCAATAAACGTACATCAATACTTTTAGATACTGCTAATTAATCTAGCCGATAGACACGTTATCTGGACGTAGAAATCCTTCATTGAAATACGAAATAACGTTACGCGTATATTTGGAAACAATTGCAAATATACAACTATAAAAAGAACCTTGGTCTGAACCTTAATCTGTGTGTAACCTTCCTAGTACATTCTAAGTAAGTAACAACAGCGTAAATTCTTTTCATGTTAGTTGCGAGAACTAAGCGCTCCTAACATATTCTTTACCTTTTTCAAGATTCGTCGAGTTTTCACCGATACGCCGAACGTGTCTGCCTGACTTTGCAGACAATCACTAAATTACACTACGTATAAATTATTGTTTCCTTGATTTTACCGTTTGCCGCATCTTTTATAGAAGTTCCAGCAAAAAAAAAAGTTCCGCTGCGTGTTTGAGCATGTGCTCGCTCCGCTGGTTCGCAGGTACAAGATTTTTTTCAGCCTCACCTGGAAAGAAGCTGGAAATTCCCCTTAATGGAATCGCAACGATCACGAGTGATATTCGTTAATCGTTTCTTCGGTATCACCGTAACTGATTGAGGATGGATAATTCTGCTTATATTAAAAATACCATAAGTGAAGCCGGTCAAACGAGTCTTTAACTAACGTGAGAATTATGAATGCAAACTATCCTTGTACCGAGAATAGGCGATAAAATCGTGGTCCTTTGGTAATCTCAAAACAAGTAAAACTGCGTTTCTACGAAATCAGTTATCTATCTGTATACATTATTAAAAAACTGCACGACAAATTGTATGACTATAATCGTCTCGTTACACAGAATCGATCGAATGTTATTGGACTTAGGTCAATGTCTAAAATGCAACTCGCGGGGTTATCAGCGTTTCTGTTCATTCCTGTGAACTTTTAGGGAACCGCGATCGCGACTAACGCTTTCGATCGTTGCTGAATGTCGATCGTTCGATGGTCAACGATCACTGTGACGATTTCCCAATCGACGAGGCTCCTTCAGTGACGCAACTACTCGAAGCTCGCCTTATCAATCCTCAAAAATATGTTCTATATCGCGCTCTTCGATTAAAATCACTCGCACAGCAAAGCGATCGTTCAAAGGAAAAAAAGTCACACGTGAATTTTCCAGTGATGTAACCAGTAGCCGACGGTTGGTTTTACCGATCGTTATCTTTCGAATTTTTCTCATTTAGATCGGGAGATCCCCTATTAGGACATGTGATACAAAATTCTTATTCTCATTTGTTGCAAAGTGAAAAAGTCCTCAAGTCCTTAACTAATATGTCTGCATAAATGGCTTGAAAAAGAAAAATGCAGAGGTGAAGGATATGCGAGAAAGCACGAAGATTCTCATTAAGAATTACGTAGTTTCAAGGATTTTGACGCTGATGACACAACAGATATGTATGATACTGTGTGAAAACTCGTCCTTTCGCTTATTCATTACACTATTTAATGGGGTAATTTTTTAGGTGAAACATTAGTTAAGCAGCTGCAAAAAGTAAGGCACCAGGAAGAAAAAAATTATGAAGCGGTTGATAGACAGGACAGAAAAAGGACGGTAACAACTTGTATGGTGGAGAAGGAGGTTGGAGTTGACAGACATTCGGTTGATAGAGGCAGGAGAGGTGCGATGAGAACAGGATTCAACAATCAGACGTGTTAGAATCACACGTCCATCATTGGTTACCTTAGCCTTGGCTAGTGGCTGTTTTTTTGCCCTCATTGTGCTGTTTCTCGCATGGATCCGTGTTCGAAGAAGCGGCAGTTATAGGAAGAACCGCAAGAAATCAGAGTGGGAGGGACGATATAAAGATGAGCGTCTCGCGAACGATTGGAATAGAAGAATCGATACGACATCATGTGGAGGTATCGAACTGCCAGACTTTTCGCCATTCTGGCCCTCCTCTGCGTTCATGCACAAGGTATTCTTTTTTTGTTAATTTCTTGCATATAAATATTACAAATTAGCATTAAGGAATATTATTCTCTATATTAATCTTGTACTTTGCCGCTATTAAGAACTTGTCATTATTTCCTCACCATTGTTATTATTAATAACAGTCTTTATCCTTCATACTACTTCGTAAATCAAATGCAAATTATTTTTATTCAACTTCAGCATATTAAATATTTCATTTTGTAAATTTTAGCTACGGACAGCAGAGAGAAACGCAGCCCTCATGGATACGAATCAGCATTTGGCGGAACGAGCAGCTTCATTAAATCTCTCGCGAATCCTACCCTAGGTGGTTTAGGCGGTGGGTTAGGCGGTGGGTTAGGCGGTGGATTCGGAGGAGGATTTGGTGGAGGTGGTGGCGGTGGCGGTGGCGGTGGCGGTGGGATTTGGCAGTGGTAACACCAAGGGATGTAGTAAAGGCGGAGGTTGCTCAGGAGGACCTGGAGCTGGCAGTGGAGCAGGATCAGGTGCTGGAAGAGGCGCCGGAGGATACGGTGGTTCCGGAGCTGGAGGCGGTGCCGGAGGATACGGTGGTTCCGGAGCTGGAGGCGGTGCCGGAGGATACGGTGGTTCTGGAGCTGGAGGCGGTGCCGGAGGATACGGTGGTTCTGGAGCTGGAGGCGGTGCCGGAGGATACGGTGGTTCCGGAGCTGGAGGCGGTGCCGGAGGAGTGGCGGTTGTGGACCCGGTGGTTGTGGGAGCGGTGGTCAGGGAGGTAAAACTCATTCTCTTCTTAATTTAAAGAAAAGTCATTAGTTTTCCAAGATATTAACATCCTTTATTTGGAATAAGGAGGTTACGGAGGATCTAACGGCAAACTTGGCAGCTGTCGTGGTGGAAGCTGTGGAGGACTTGGAGCTGGCAGTGGAGCAGGGTCAGGTGCCGGAGCTGGAGGCGGCACCGGAGGATACAGTGGTTCCGGAGCTGGAGGATATGGCGGAAGTGGCGGCCGTGGCGGTTGTGGACCCGGTGGCTGTGGGAGCGATGGTCAGGGAGGTAAAACTCATTCTCTTCTTAATTTAAAGAAAAGTCATTAGTTTTCCAAGATATTAATATCCTTTATTTGAAATAAGGAGGTTACGGAAGCGGTGCCGGTGGATACGGAGGTGCTGGAGCTGGTGGCGGTGCCGGAGGATACGGAGGTGCTGGAGCTGGTGGCGGTGCCGGAGGATACGGAGGTGCTGGAGCTGGGGGCGGTGCCGGAGGATACGGAGGTGCTGGAGCTGGAGGCGGCGCTGGAGGATACGGAGGTGGTGCCGGAGGATACAAAGGTGCTGGAGCTGGAGGCAGCGCCGGAGGATATGGTGGTTCCGGAGCTGGAGGATATGGTGGTTCCGGAGCTGGAGGACATGGTGGAAGTGGCGGCGGTGGTGGTTGTGGACCCGGCGGCTGCGGAAGCGCTGGAGGATCGGGAGGATATGGAGGCACAGAAGGTGGCGGAGCTGGAAGCAGTGGCTGTAGCTCAGGAAGATGTTACGGAGGAGCAACTGCGAATGCTCACGCTAGTGCGAGCGCCAGCGCTAACGCTCACGCAAACGCTTTAGCTAGCGCAAGCGCATCTGCAAATGCTAATGCAAATGCTGGCGCAGGAGGCTTAGGAGGAGGATACCCAGGATTTGGCGGTGGTCATGGAATGGAGTAGGTGCAATCACTTAAGATAATAACA